AATTTTTCTAATTGAGAAAATTAGCAAGCACCCTGTTGGGGTCTTGTAATTTGTTCCTTTTGCACTTTTGTGCTTTTATATATTACCTCTATCGTTCCGGAAAAAAAAAATGAATTTTAATAAATATAATTATTTTTTATTATTATAAATATAAATATAATTTATTTATTTCAATATATACAATATAGATGTCAAATCGAAGATCATCAAAAGATAATTTATTTGATATATTATATATGTAAAACCGATAAGAAATACAAAAGTTATCAAATTTTAAATATATTTACAACTCAATAGCTAATTGAAGGAAACAAATCAAAAGTCAGAGATATATTAGTCACTTAGTGTCTCACTATGTAAAATTACAAGGAATTAAAGGGTTATGTTAGTACAAGTGATATTAAAATACCTAAGTTAGCTAAATAATATTTATGGAATGTCCAAACCTAGATTATTAATTATTAATATATCAATATTATTTGTCCAAACCTAATTACGAAACATGATTCTTCGCCAAATAGGATTTCGAAGCACCAGAAACAGTCACGTAGGCTCAGCGCATTCGGAAATTGAGGATGATGAATTTGTTTTATTTTAAATTTTAAATAAAAAATATGATCGAATTAATTAATGAAAGCAAAATGACGAAAATGGGCAAAGACGAAGTATGGAACATTTATTGGGCCGAGCCCAACACACGGGGCTGGATTTGAATTAATGCCCATGCAATATTTGAGTTGGGTCATTCTTTTACATCCCATTTGGATAGACACTAGGAAGAAGCACGCGAACCAGTAGCTAAAGTTTAATTGAGGAGCATGATGGTAATTTCGAAGTTTGATTATCTCTTCTTCAGGGAGAGAAATATCAAGACCCACGTTATGGAGAGAAATATCAAGACCCCCGGTATAACGCAGTCGTTTGTAGAGAGGAAAAAGAAGAGATACTCTCTAGACTCTAGTCTCTAGAACTGAAAATGAGTTGAGTCGAGTCGAATCGAGCTCGAATTTAAGGTGTTCGAGCTCGAGCTCTTAACGAGCCAAGTCGAACTCGACTCGTTAAATAAACTAGCCAAAATTCTAGCTCGAGCCTTAACGAGTCGAGCTCGAGTTTTAACCAGCCAACTATAAAAATTTATATAAAAAGTCTATTTGCGAGTCTTATCTAGCCGAATCGAGTCAAGCTCGGCTGGTTAACCAATCGAGTTTTAAATGAACTCGAACTCAACTCGCTCAGGCCTCGAACTCGAGTCGAGCCAGACCCATTTAATTTAACAACACTAGTAATCTCTGTATATCAATCATCGTTAGGTGAAAAACAGGTGATATTTCACCAACTAAAAAATTTCAACTAAATTCTAAAACCCAAAATAAAATCGTTAATCCCACCTTTGAAGCTACCCATATGGGGCGGAGTCTCCCAGGACATATTTACCCCTCATAACGATTTATTTTATTAATAAAAAAAAAAATAAGAAAAAACTGGAAAGAGAGTGACAAATAAAGACAGCCCCGAAAGATCTGAGGTTTGGTCACTCCGAAGTCGAGCGAGCAACAATAACCACCGATAATATTTTACGATGGCCGCTGTTGCTGCATTGGTCTCCAACGGCGATCACGCCGCCGTCAAAACTCCGTCTACTGGCCGATATGCCGCCGTTTACAGCGAAGTCCAGAACAGCCGCCTCGACCACCACCTCCCCTTACCTTCCGTCCTCAAAAGCTCCTTCAATGTCGTTGACGGCCCACCCAGTTCCGCTGCGGGCAACCCAGGTTTCTTTCACTAAAGATTCTCAGTTGATTTGTTTTTTTCGAAATTTACTTGAGTGATACTCTAAGATGTGCAAACCAATCATTGCTTGATTTCAAACATATCATTGTTGAAAGTTTATCCCTTTTTGTTTTATGTTAGTTCTGCTGCACTATTTTGTCAAGGCGGGCTTGATTCTTGTGAGAATTATTTAATTTAGAGCTTGATCGAAGTTTCTAGTGCTTAGAGTTGAAAGTATTGATTACAATGGCTTTTAATTGGATTTAGACAGATGCTTACTGTATCTACCCAAAGTCTCAATTGGTTCTGTGTCTTACTTTCTCTTTTATGCTATCTTTTTACTATTGATTGGCCTATATTTGACGGAATAAGCGATCAAGTGAGTGTATTTCACAATGTAGGTAATATTATTTTTGTTGTTGTCACGAAATGCAGACGAGATTGCAAAATTGTTTCCTTGCCTATTTGGACAACCATCGGCAAACTTGGTACCAGGAGATTCCACATTGCCGGTTCAAGGCTTGAAAATTGGTGTGGTTTTATCTGGAGGACAAGCTCCAGGAGGCCACAATGTCATTTCTGGAATATTTGGTTAGTTGTTAATTTTTTTCATCTAGTTTGTTCTGATAAGTTGTTTCAGGTGAATATTTACTCACGTATGTGCGTATGGCTTGTAGATTACTTGCAGGATCGGATTAAAGGGAGCACATTGTATGGGTTTAGGGGTGGGCCAGCTGGAATTATGAAGTGCAAGTATGTTGTGCTGACCCCGGAGTTTATCTATCCTTATAGAAATCAGGTGCTTTCATTTCCTTATCGATTTTTTTTCCTAAATAAAAGTGGTCTTTTTTTTGCATGACAATGACTATTGGATTTTTCCGTTCACTTTGTATAAATATGATCGCATCAAACTTATGTGATTGATTAATAACTTAAGCAATTTTTGGCTGGTACCAAGGGGAAGCCATAATTGAGCTTCACTTTGAAAAGGCAACTTGTAGCTTTGTCGATCAAAAGCTCATATTTCTGTGAAAAGGATATTCAGGCCTTGATCTATGCCCACATACTAAAGTTTCTGGAATTTTTAGAGTGAATGAGTCCTCGAATTAGTAGTTTTTTAACCCTAGAAAATATCTTTCCTAACTTCTACTTGGGCCTTAGCATCTTCTTTTCCTTATTCATGACTTCAAGAATGATCCCAGATACATGTGGGATCCAAAAAGTTATGCTCCTTTTTTTATTTCTTTCACAAAATATGTATTTCATTCAACTTTATATTGATTTTCGAATTCTATTCCAAATAACATGAAGATACTTGTAATGCAAAATCTAAAGCTAATAAGAAAGCAAAGCATTTTTATAAATTATAAGTAACTGTACTATTTTTCAACATTTAGCTGCAATCGTGAGTGTCAACTGTGTCTCATTGAGACAATTTATGATCCAATACTCAATTTATTCTTATTATGCTGCTAAATCTTTTACTTATAATTTTGCGTTCAGGGTGGCTTTGACATGATCTGCAGTGGAAGAGACAAAATTGAGACTCCAGAGCAGGTAGGGATTTGATTTACTTATATTCTTTCTAACTATTCCCAGATAAGCAATTTTTGAAGCTAACACAAACTACTTTGTCTCATCTCAGTTTAAGCAAGCTGAAGAAACCGCTCTTAAGCTCGACTTAGATGGCCTTGTTGTAATTGGTGGAGATGATTCAAACACTAATGCATGTCTTCTGGCTGAAAATTTTAGGTAGTTTGACCTGCTATGTGTGAAGATACATCATTCTCTTTGCTTCCCTTTTCTGATGTTTATAGTTGACTCAGATATGATAATATTCTTTTTGCTCTTTTTCTTTTAAAAAAAATTTTAGGAGCAAAAATTTGAAAACAAGGGTTATTGGATGTCCGAAGACCATAGATGGTGATCTGAAGTGCAAGGAAGTTCCCACGAGTTTTGGCTTTGACACTGCATGCAAGGTAATCTTGTGTATGGAATTATTTATTTTGTTTATTTACATATGTCTTGGTCAAATTTATTTTCTGCAGCAGGCTATTGGAACACATCTTGTTTTTTGTATCAGATATCTTTTCCTTTTTCCACCTCTCTGATTCACTGACTCACTATAGTGTTACGGTACTGAAATATGGTGCAATCTCAGTGTAGTACGAAGTTTTCACCAGCACAATTCTAAAGGGCATAGCTCTAGTAAAAGATGCATTTTTTGATCTGTCATCAAACAATACAATATGTAGTCATCTTTGAAGGAATAAACTATGAAATTGAAATTTTTATGTAGAAATTAAATGTGCTTCGAGTGAAGTTTTTTTATATTTAAACATTTCATACGTGATCAAATACCGTGATTGCCCAACCAACATAACCTTTTGTGAAACAATTTCTCCACTAATATTTACCTTATCTAGCCGAATAGTTTTATAGGGAAAATTGCTATAGCAGACAGTATCACAAGAGATGTAGATACTTTCCTATTGGCAATATTATCTAATTCTTAGACCTTGAGAATCTTAATTCGGTCAAGTAAATTTTGTTGAACTCTATGTTTGTATATATCTATACAAGTATTATGACTTTTGGTCAAACTTGGTATTATTAAAAGTATTTTCAATAGTTGAACCTGAAGTCTTATGTTCATCTCTTTTTGCAGATATATACTGAAATGATTGGTAATGTCATGGTAGATGCCCGCTCAACTGGAAAATACTACCACTGTGAGTACTAAATTTGTTATGCAAGAAGTGAATTGTGTATTATCTTTTATTCTATTTTATTGGCACCTGTTTATTGGTAAATTAGGCTTCCAAAGCCATGTTGTGCAATGCCTCTGCTAATTTTCTATAAATTATTTAGTGGCATTATTCTGACCTTTACTGTTCATCATGGAACTCATCCGAAGAATTGTTAGTTTATCATCTTGCAATGATAATTCTCTTTTCATTTATGTAAATAATTAGTTGCTTATGCCAAGATGACATGTCCATACATGATACAACTTACATTTCCATTATGTTATTCTAGGTAAATGATGAATTTGTGAAATATTAATTATATAGTTAATCTCACTATTTGCAGTTGTTCGACTTATGGGACGTGCTGCTTCCCACATTACATTGGAATGTGCTTTGCAGACTCACCCTAATATCACTCTTATTGGGGAAGAGGTACCTTATAATTTTTTTTTTTTTAAACTCTTCTTCTTGGCATATCTAGTGACTTCAAAACTAGGGAATTCTTGACACTTGCAAAAATTGCGCAAAGGATGAGTAAATCATGGTGTTTATTAAAAGCTTATTTTGTTTCGTGTGAAGCAGACTCTCCACAATATGGAGACATTACAAATGCTACCAATCAGCATTAAATTCTATTTTTTCCTGAATGTGAGGCAATGAGAGAGCTTCATAGAAGCTTATTGCATATCTAATAAATATTAAAAAAACATGGCTTCCCAAAAAAAATAAAAAATAAAAAATCCACTGACAAATTCAATTGCATTACAGGTTGCAGCCAAGAAACAAACCCTGAAGAATGTCACAGACTACATTGCTGATGTCATATGCAAACGTGCTGATGCCGGTTACAATTATGGTGTCATACTCATACCGGAAGGACTCATTGATTTTATTCCTGAGGTTCAACTATTTTTCATTTTTTATCTCTGCTACATTTATGCGTCTCTTGGTAACATTTCTGTAGCTCTATACAGCTTTTGCTAATAATCATCCTACTTTGCTATAATCTATTTTCGTGAAATACACAATTGTTATGTTGCTTCCTTATGGACGGATCTTCTTGTTTCTGATTCTATTTACTTGATTATATTTTCAGGTTCAGCAGCTAATTGCAGAACTAAACGAGATTTTGGCTCATGAAGTTGTGGATGAGGCTGGAGTCTGGAAAAAGAAGCTTAGCCCCCAGTGTCTGGAGCTTTTTGATTTTCTACCACCAGCAATCCAGGAACAATTGATGCTCGAGAGAGATCCTCACGGAAATGTCCAGGTAATTTGTACACGGGAAATCCGAATTTGATAATATTAGAATAAGAATCTAAATAAGAGTCCAGATTTTTTTTTTAAGAATGCAATCTTCTATTCATGTTCGAATGATGTATTTTCATATAAATCATTAATATGTAATAACATTTCTTTTGTCTCCTGTAGGTTGCCAAAATTGAAACCGAGAAAATGCTTATTCAAATGGTTGAGACTGAGTTGCAGGCAAGGAAGCAGATGTCCGCTTACAAAGGCCAATTCAAGGGACAGTCTCATTTTTTTGGGTACCTTTTTTCACTTTGCCTTTATCTGATTTTCACTATATTATTATCTATAAATCTCTTAACCAAATGATACTTCACATTTTTAATCTCGATTTTGATTTGTCAGATATGAGGGGAGATGTGGTTTACCTTCTAATTTCGATGCCACCTATTGCTATGCTTTGGGTTACGCGGCTGGTGCACTGCTTCAGAGTGGGAAAACTGGATTGATTTCCTCGGTTTGTGCTTCTACTATTTCGTTTTCTCATTTACCATTTGCAAAACTATCTCGAAGATTTGACTTAATTACAAAAGGAACCCAGTTATCTTTCAAAATCACATCTACCTTTTGATATTTCTTTGTTCTATACGATTTGAACCGTTAAAACATATAGTTTCATTCAATTTTGACAATAACGACAGGTTGTTTTTGTGATTATCACTTTAATATGTAGTGTTTTAATTATTTATTTATTTATTTTTTTCAGGTGGGAAACTTGGCTGCTCCAGTGGCCGAATGGACTGTTGGAGGAACTGCACTGACTTCATTAATGGATGTCGAAAGGAGACATGGTATAACCTGTTTCTGTTTTCTACCTTTTCATTTTCTAGTTTTTTTGTTTTGTTTTGTTTTT